AAGAATTGAAAGACATTTCCAACGCTTCCGACCGCACCCCGTTTTGAGTTGTAGAACTCAAGCTATGATCATTTTAGTGAAACACAATTATGGTTCAATTGTAGACCGTCGGTAAGCGAACACAAAGTTCGCTAAGCAAACTTGGCAGAACAAAATACGATTTTGAGGGTTCTAACACTCATTTTTGCATCTCAATCCATCCCAATTCAAACCCTAACATGTACTAACGATCCAAGACATACAATGGCATCATAAGAACACATTTTACAGAAATTAATCAAGCATGCAATGATTTAATCACACTCTAAACCCTTATCATGTATCATTCCCAAATCATACCCTAAGTTTATATATATTGGATATCACCTCATAATATCAACTTGAAGAAGATGATAATGATGGTTTTGATCTTGTAAGCCTGAGATAAAGATGATTGCAACCCTTGGCCTTCATTCTTGAAATTCTTCCTCCAACAAATTCCAATTCTACAACTTTTCTTCACATGCAACCATGGAGAACATGATGATGGATGAATAAACTCTCTCCTCTCCTCTCTTCATTCGAGCTCCCTTTCCTTCTTCCCGTGTTTCTAAAATTCTGACTTTTGGCAAGTGATGAGAATGATACAGGCAACCAAACAAGTCCTTATATTACTCATTCAAGTGAAAATGACCATTTCATCCTCTAACTATGCCATAATTACCGGTTTTCCACTTAGTTCAATCCTAACCAAATACTTAGCCATTATTCTCATACTTAAATAATATGGGATGTTACTATTATTATTATTAACCTCCTTATCATCATCATCATCATTGGAGTGCTGCGAAATCATCAAATATATACGTGCTTATTCTTCGTTTTCAGAATTTAAGGTTGTGCTAGCATCACTGTCTTCCCATGTAATATATATTTTTCTTTACTTTCTATGCTTCTTGTTTCTGAATCCATTATTCTTTTGGAGGAAAGGAAAAATACTCGAAATATATCCTTCTTTCCATATTCAAAGCGTGTGATTTTTTGTCTTGAAGTTGATGCTGCAATAAACTTCTTTTCTTAGCCAAGTTTTATTGTCTTGTCTCTTTTCAAGAATTTTTCAAACTTCTTGACTGATACTTCTATCTTCACCATATTTTTCACTATCATATTGAGATTCTTCTTCTTGATCACTATTATAATTTTCTGCTTTAGTCTTTAATCGTTCGTTATTATAATCTCCTGCTTTAGTCTTTAATTGATCATTCTTCTTCTTCTTGATCACTATTATAATCATTATTTTCTAATCGATCAAGTTCCATTTAATTTTCTTGCAATTTTCTGAATAATGAAGCCAAGATCATTTTTGATAGGCTTTTCTTTTATGAAACTACTATCACATTCGGTTTCCATGCATTGTTAGTGATCTTAGAACCTTAAATTCAATTCATTGTTAGTAAAGGTTTTTATCAAGAGCAGTTAAATGATTGGTCAAGACAGTGGAACTTTTCCGCATATCTAGAATTTTTTCTTTCGGTAACATTCTAAACATTTCATATTCTTTAGAAAAGGTGTTTAATCAATAACTTTTTACTTCTTTTGTTTGGTCATGTGTTGTTTCTAAGGTATCCCATATTTCTTTAGCCATTTTCAAATTTGAAACTCTAAAGAGTTCATCAATTCTTGAGGTTAATGTTATAATGTTTTTGGCCTTTTTGTCATATAGAATTTTCTTTTTATCATCTTCATTTTATGCATATTTAGGCTTGGGCTGTTTATCACCTTCAACAATAGTGGTAGGTATGAAAGTCCCTTCTTCAACCGTATTCCAAACTTCTACACTACGAGATTCAAGGAATATTTGCATTCTTATTTTCTAAAAATCATAACATTCACCGATAAAGCAAGGTGGTCTATTTATACTAGAGCCTTATCTTAAGAATGATTTAGTGGAAGCCATGTTTTTCGGATCTAGGAGCAATTTACCCAACTCTTGCTCTAATTTTAATTGTAAGTTTTAGATGCAAACTAAGAGGGGGAGAAGTGAATTAGGTTTGCCAATTTTATGTGCTAATTTCTGAAACTATTATTTTTTCAGAAGTGTTGTTATAATTACTTAACCGATTTAGGAATGTTGAAGAATAAAGTGTTGGAAAAGTAAATGTGCAGAATGTAAAAGACACCATAAAAATATATGGGTTCCTTTCCAACTTAATGGTATATCCAATCCCTCTATCTCTTTAGAGGATTTTCCACTATGATCAAATGCTTTTCACAAGTCTCACAATGACCACTTTAAAGAACACACATCTTCTAACCAAGAAAGCACACCACTTCCTTGTTTAGACAAAAAACACCAAAAACTATGGTGGACTTTGAATCACCTCGACTAAAAAAACCTTTTTCACAATTACCATACACCATGATGATCTTCACCAAACCAAAAAGTACGTAGTTTTCTGTTTACAAACACTTTTTACCAATGCACCATGATGAAAAAACACAAGCACTCAAGCTTTGTTAGAAAATGAAGAATATAGTAGACTCTTGAATGTCAAATCTAATATTTGAATCATAGACTTTATTTTCTCAGTATCATAAATCTAAGTGTAACACTTAATTGCTCATAATCTGTTATAGTTTTGAAACTTTTCTGGTTTATGAAAGTTTACAAAGTTTTAAACCATTTTGAAAAATGATATTTGAATTGTGTAAATTAAAATGTTAAAGTTGTTAATTCATTTTAAGACTTAAAATGATTTATATAGACTCATATAAACCTTTACGAATGGGCAAAACTTTGAAAAAGTTCCATGAAGCGTTGTCATTCCTTACAATGAAGTTATTTCATGAAAAGATACATTTTTATATGTGGTAATCAATTACCATGGGTGTGTAATCGATTACCATAAACCAACATGTAGAAAATTTGAAAATTTTCAACTAGTAATCGATTACCACTGTTTTTCTTTGAAAATATACCACTTTTAGCAACTTTGCTTTAATGATTTATATGCACAATATTTGAAAACATTTTAGGTTAACTTTGAATAATATTTTCTTAACTTTTAAGTGACACAAGAGATAAATGATGATAAATTAAATATAGAGACATTATAACTTAAACTCTTTGTCCTTGCTTTTGATTGATCAATGTCTTCTTCTTTTGCTTTCTTTGTTGTCATTGTTGTCTTAATCTTTTTCTTATTTTGTTGATGTATTTGTTGTCATCAAAACCCTAAGCAATGTCAAGGAGAAACTCTTCTTCACATGTTAAGCTTTATTGTGTTGTAACATAAATCTACTTAATATAAATCTAAGGTTGTCACGATGGCAACCCTAGACAAAACCCTAGCAAAAAGCTTATGTATCAATCTCACAAATTTTTTAATTAAAATTATTAATAAAATTGACATTATTATAATATATTAAGATTGATATAATTTACAAGTTATGAATAATAATAATGATAATAACACTCTTCATATTCCTATTCCAATTTCAATCATAAATAAAATAGAAAAGAAAGAAAGCTAAAAGTACCATTTAAGATATGAAGTATCTATCGTCAATTTAAAAATAGTGTATGGCAATTAGAGTCAATTTAAAAATATTGTATGTTTAACCTTTAAGAAATTGTATGTGACAATTTTAAATTTAAATTTTTTATAGGTCGGGATAAAATAGTTACAATTGCTTATGATATTATTTTCTTTATTTGTAAAATGGTATAGTCTTTGTTAAGTGTTGATAATTGTAATCTCTAAAAAATTTAACATCAAATATTATAAAAAATATAATTTTATTTCTAATATACTTGTGCGAGTCGCCAATATAATTAATTTAACTTTTTGGAAGATATTTATAAAAAAAGATATTTTACTAATATTTATTTGCATTAACAAATGACAACTCAAAGAAATACACATGCTAATTAGAATTGGTTCCAACATTGGTGTAACACTTGTTTTGTATGACAAATAAGACCACACAATCCATATTTTCTTTTAAGTTTATCACTTCTGTCTATTTCAGTTCTAATTAGAGTGGTGTTTAAGTATCCTTTCTTGTTCCAATGCATTTTTTCATTATGGAAAAATATATCTCTTTTATAAAATGATCAATATTTATTATTAGACACCACTAGAAAACTTTCATTGTAGACACCTAACCAGTTTACAATTTTGTAAATGTCAATTAAATGCACAAAAAACATACATGTCACAATAACATGTGAGTAAGGCGTGTTGAAAGCTAAAAATTTTCCACATTCGCATCAACCATTTTGTAGGTTGGCCTTGTAATGTCCCATTGATCGTCTCTCGTCGTGGTCTATTGTCTCTTTAACTTTGAAAAAATAATTTTATTACCCAGTGAGTGTTGAATTTTAGGGTTTCTTTTTTTTATCATATTCATACAATTTCTTGTTAATATTTATTTAGTATGATGCAATCATTTAGAGTTCAACAACATTATTAATATGTTTATGTATTGAAGAAATGCATCAATTAAGTTAACTCCGGTTTGACATCCATCAAAATAATTCAAGACCACCAATGTGTTTATGGCCGATGATTTCAATTGAAGATACTTTAATAGAGAAGAGTGTTGTTGTTCGAAAATCATCGTAATTATATCTTAGAGGGCTATACCATACCCATAAAATATAAACTGAGTAAGAAATACTTGACTTTATATAAATTGATTCCAACTTCACATCTCTCCCAAAATAGATTACTAGTTGACCCTCATGACCAACCTTCTCCTTCAAACTTATAACACCTAACCATCCACAATCACATATAACCCAATTGCTAATCAAGCACGAGTGCGGGCTCTTCGAGATCCTTCTAAAGAGTTTTTAAAAATCAAAAACCAACTACGAAACTCCACAACCATTAGATCAAACAACCCAAAAACCCATCAAACGGACCCTTCTCTTCAACTCCAACCCAAACATCGCGCATTCGCCAATCGCTACTCGCCCCTTATCCCTCCCCTTCATTCTTCTACCCTCTCTTCCCATGGCCACCGTCCTCCGAACTCCCACATTCCGTGCATCCCCAACCCTACTCACCACCACCTCCGCCTCTTCAAACTATCCGAAAACCTCTAGGGTTTCCGTCACACCCTCCAGGAGGAGAGCGTCGTCACTTAAATCCCTCCGGTTGAATCCAATTCCCTCCCCGCGGTTCGTGAAGTTAGTTCCCTTTGCTTTGGACGGAGATACCGAGGCTCCGCAAGTTCAAGACCCGCCTGAGGTTCCGGTTCCGGTGAGCTTTCTTTTTCTTAAATGTATTTCTGTTCTCTTAATTGCTCGTTCAGTATTCAGTTCTGGTGGCCTCAATTGCGGGTTGTTTGCAGTTGAAGACCATAATTTCGAACTATGTTTTCCAATTTGTTTTCTGTATTTTTTACTATTGTTTCTACAAAACGCTGAGACCTAGAAACAACTTGAATACTCCGGGATATTTTTCTAGTATAAACTGAAAACAGAAAATTGACATAAAAAAGGCATTTGTTTTTTGGTTCATTTTCTCTCTTATTGTTTCTTTATAAATTGTTTCTTGTATTATTTCACAAATGTATAGAATTTGCATTTAATTGTTTGGTTTTGTCTTTTCTTATCGTTTTTGTTGTATTGGGTATTATGTCATGTAAGGGGTCTGAGAGCAATGCAAGGTTTAAAATTTTGAATTGGATGCACTAGTGATGTTGGACAGAGATCGAGTCTAGGTAGGGTTACTAACTACCAAACTGTAGAGAAGGATTGGTCGGAATAAGATTCTAACAGCCAATCACTGGTTTCTCTAATGTAACTGTCTTGTAGTGAAGAGAATTCACCTTTTATACTGCAAGCTTAAGACCTTTCAGACTCCACAACCTTTCAACGTAGTGCATGCTTGTTTCAGCTTGTTTTTTAACTGAAACCTGTTACCAAAATCATTATGAATTCAAATTAATATTGTTTTCCTTTATACATGATTTATGATCGATCAAATATTATGACAAAACTTTATGGCTTTGTTTGATTTATTTTATGTAACTGTCTCTTGTCTCAATTTAGTCGGAAAGGGCTTTGATGGTTGATGTTTAATTAGTTGTAATTGTTTTTTTATAAAGTCTTCTCATGACGCTGCAAAAAAAGAAGGTTCAAATATATGATTATTTCATACAATAAGCTAATTCAAAGATGCATCCAAACTCCTGGGAATTCTAAATTATAATTATTAAATTAAACTACAATGTCTTAGGCACAACTTAAAAGAAACCGACTTACAAGGAAACAACTCCTGAACTGAAATCCACAGACATGAATAATTATATTCCTTTTAACTGCTCCTATATTAGCTCTTCTCCATTAGTTTACTTGAACTCTATTTTGCTAAGCTTGAAGGAAAGTATTATGATTTATTAGTTCCTTTGTGTTATTTTTCTGATATACCAATTCAACAGGATCCTTCAGTTGCCGCGGAGGATAGTACAGGCGATGAGGAGCTCAGCGATGCTGGTGAAACACCTGCTTTAACTTTGACAGTATTACTACAGTTTTACAAAGAAGCATTGGCAAATAATGATGAAGTCAAAATTGCTGAGTTGGAAACCTCATTTAAATCCATCGATGATGAGATAGCAGCTCTTGAAGAGAAAGTGAATTCGTTATCTGAAGAACTATCTATAGAAAAAGATCGTAAACTAAGGATTGGTGCAGACTTTGACAATTATCGTAAGAGGACTGAGAGAGATCGCCTTTCACTGGTCACAAATGCTCAGGGGGAAGTTGTGGAGACTTTGTTGCCTGTATTGGATAATTTTGAGAGAGCCAAAGCTCAGATTAAGGTGGAGACAGAGGGAGAGGAGAAAGTAAACAACAGCTATCAGAGCATATATAAGCAGTTCATTGAAATTCTAAACTCACTTGGAGTTGAACCAGTGGAGACAGTTGGAAATCCCTTTGATCCAATGGTAAGTTAGTCAGCAGTTTCAATTTATAGTTGATTTCCAGTAAATATTCTTTCTAGTTAGAGAAAATCTCATTATCATGCAGGTGATAATGATTTATACACAAATGAAGCTGATAACTTATTTTTTTAAAGGCAGTATTGCACGTAACAGTGTATATTTACACTGTCTCAGTAGATATATGTCTCTTTGTTATACATAAGCCTGCATAATTTTCAAATTTCAATATTGTAGGTGGGCATTTTTTTTGGTGGGTTGTTGGTAGACATTTTACATTTACACTAGTGTTCTAAGCCTGCATTATGATATCATCTTTGAATTATTGCAATATTGGTTTGAGGTTTCAAGTATTTTTCCCGTTTCTCCAAAAGATCTTTTAACTTTGTTTTCTATATCTTGTCCCACCTCATCCTTTGTTGACATTTATGGCATGATGCTGTCATCTATGATTTATGCAGGGGCGCAAACCAGTTGGCTCGAAATTCAATCGTGTGCTTGATGAATTTTTTCAAACACTGTATAAAGTTTCTTCAGGTTTCCTGAAGACCTGGATACCTTTTTAACTCCAAGCAATTCTGGATTGTTTCGAGCCAACTTGGTGAGTTTAAGAATGTGTCCGAATCAAGAAAGAGTAGGCTTTGTATCAAAATGTGTATTAGAATACATATTTCTGTAGTTAAAGAGTTGTTTTCAGTTTGATGCTTGTAAGGTTATTTGACTCAAATATTTTTGTCTCAGCCTCTGCCTTAAATGAAATGCATGGTGCTCGGTCTATTTTCATCAATATTTTTAGAAAGTTTCTTATGTATGAAAACTGATAATCTTGAGATTTTTTTCCTGATAAACTATGTTTTCACTTTACTTGTAAAAGCTACATGAAGCAATTATGCGTGAGGATTCTGATGAGTTTGAAGATGGCATTATAATTCAAGAATTCAGAAAGGGTTTTAAACTTGGTGACCGCCTTTTACGTCCATCAATGGTGAAAGTATCAGCTGGTCCAGGACCTGCAAAGCCGGAACAAGAAGTACCTCTGGAAGAAGTCTCAAATGGAATTTCTGAAGAGAATGATGTCTACGTGAAAACAGAGTCTGCTTGAAAGGACAAATCTTTGCCTGGATTCAGTTTTGTACAAGTATATCAGTTTAATCTCCAAGAACTTAATCATGGGTATTGCTGTCAAGGAACTTAGTATTATGAGATTTTGAATTATGATTTCAGATTTTTATGTCCTTGCACGGTTTTGGTAGAGATGACTAAATTTTCAGAGGTACCATGTTTCTGAAAGGACCCCAATTAAGTTGCAATTGATCAAGTGCTTGGCACCTGGAGTTGGGAGAATCAGTGTGACCTTTTAAGTTAAGGTTTTATAATGACACTATTTCTTTATCTTATTGCACATTATGTATTTTTAGCTAAGCTAGAAGCAATTCTAGTTAATGTTCCTCGTGAGTTTTTAAAATTTTAAAGATAATTTCTGAAAAATTGTATCCCTATGCAAACCTGGTACAGTTAACTTGCTCATTACTCCATTGTTTAACATATAGGGGATTTGGATTTGCTTCCCTGAACATGTTGATAATCATTGAAACAAATTCCTCTATATTAAGAATTGAATAAATATTAAAATTTATAATATATAATACCATTTGTACAGGCCTCATTTAAAATGAAAAATTCGAACATAATATGTATTTGTTGCATTACTCCAAGAATTAATAATACACTAAATTTTTTATTACGTCTTGAATATGAATATGATTTAACCGTATATACAACTGAAGCAAAATATATTCCCCAGAAAAAAATCAGAAAAGAAAAGTTTACATAATTTTAAAGTGTTTTTACTCATTTAATAATGCTTGAATGGTTATGGCCGACTTCACAAATTTAAATTGATTATCTATATTTTTTTTTGGTTACTTTAGTTAGACTCCTCTATTGATTTCGATAAGATTATAGTATGACTTACAAGTTTAATTCTTCTATACTTTGTGCAATTTTATACATTTTATTTGTATTTATTAAATTAAAATTAAAGTTGATTTTTATTCATCCATCCAATGTTTTCTTAAACATTGTAGTTATACTAAAGAAACTTTGTAAACCAACTAACACATTTATCTCTTAGACTTTCCAAACCTCCACTGATATATTGTTTATCCCCACTCTTTTGCCATTTTTCATTCTACAATGCTTCACTTACCCATTCCTTTCCAATTCTTTAGAAATGTATACATTTTGATCACAATCTCTAATGTTTAACCCATGAGATATCGAAATGCAGTATTGAACACTTTATCAAATATTTTTTTGAAAATAATTTTTTCTTCTATTTTATTTTTAATTTGACTTAATTTAACTTTTTTAATATTTCTTTCTCGACATCTAACAAATCAAGACAAATACATGTCTCTATTCTAAATGCTTGAAAATTGATATAATTCAACACAAATTTTAATATAAGTTGGAAGTGTTGAGAAATAAGTGTGAGTTGGAAGTATTGAGAAATAAATGTGAGTTGGAAGTCCCACATTATTAGAAAAGTGGAGATTGAACACTTTATAAGAGAGAGATCCCGTACACCTATTACCTTAAGGTTTTGAGTAAGTATGCGGTGTGTTTCTCACAATGTGTGTTGCTTCTAAAAAACGTTTGAATGTAAAAATGTTCTCTCATATTGACCCTCAAAGATTTGATGACTTAAGAGTGGTATCAGAGCCTCCTTCGAGTGAAAGACCGACTCACTTGTATCAAAAGTTCTCGTCACGTGGTGGTGGCTAGTTTGAGTGGAGGATCGAATCACAGTCCTGGCCACATGGTGGTGGATAGGAGGTATCGCCATATGATGGTGGATAGTTCAAGTGAAGGATAAACTCATTTGTATCAAAAGTCCTCACCACATGATGGTGGATAAGTCCCATTGAATAATGAAAGTGAGGAGAGAGAGAATGAGAAGAATTAATGAGAGAAATTGTATTATTGGAAGTTAAAAAAATTGAATTAGAAATATGTGTATTTATACAAGTATATGACTTTCAAACCCTAACTAACTTGGGTTTGGGCCATCTAACTTTCTAATCAAGTAACTAATTTGGATTATATCTCAACATGCCCCTTTTATAATCCAAGTTGTCGAACACGAACTAATCATAGTCGATCTGAATTATTTCTAATTTCTTTTTCAAAATTAGGAATTTGTCGATCTTCAATTTTTTGGTGAAAATATGGACAAACTGTGTTTCACTTGAGAAATGTTTCACTTCAAGTTCACCTCAATTTACCTTCTCCTTTAAGAAGTGAAATATAACTTTGATGTGCTTACTCCTTCCTTGTAGAATTAGATTTTTTGTAAGATTTATGACTGACTTGTTGTCGATCTAGAGCACCAGAGGTTTCTTCACTTCGACTACCATCTCTTCCAGCACAAATCTGATCCAAATTGTTTGACATGCAGAATATGATCCTGTTATATATTCAGTCTTACACGATGATAATGCCACCACATGTTACTTTTTCGAGCACTATGAGATTGGAGCATCAAATACTTGAAAGAAGTAACCTGTTATGCTTCTTCGATCTTCCTTATCTCCATACCAATCAATATATGAATAGAAATTAATCAACTTCTTTGCCTTCAGAACTTAGTGGAAATAAAATTCTACAGTTTATCGTTCCTTTTAAGTATTTCAGGATTTTTCATGCAACCTTCAAGTGCAATACCCTTGGTCTACTCATGTATCTGCTCACCAGTCTGCCTGAGAAACTTATTTCAGGTCGACTGTTACACACACACACACACACACACACACACACACACACACACACACACACACACACACACACACACACACACACACACACACACACACACACACACACACACACACACACACACATATATATATATATATATCAGAGATCAGACTATTTATTTGAATAACATGACATTAACTTTTTCCTCCTCTCCATGTTTATCCAGTTTAAAATTTGGTTCGATAGGTGAGAATGCATGATTTAAATCATCTATCCTGAGTCTCTTGAGTATTTCTTTGACATAATTCCTTTGATGTAGCACCATACCTTACTTGGTAATTTTAAATTCCATGCCTAGGAAATATAACAAGTTTCCCAGATCCTACATTTCAAATTCCTTCTTCATCAACTCTTTGAACTTCGACAGGTTATCCTTGTTAGTTCCAATTATTAGCAAGTCCTCAATATATAAGCAGATGATGGTTATATCTTGTGCCATGAACTATACATAGATACCATACTACGACTTACATGTGACGAATTCTAATCCCACTAAGTACAAGTCGATCTTCTTGTTCCATGCCCTAGGTGGCGGCTTGAGGCCATAGAGTGCTCTGTGCAACCTGTATAATTTCCTCGCTTCCTCCTGTATCACAAACCCAGAAGGTTGTGTGATATCTACCTATTCATCTAAATGACCATTCAAAAATTTTGATTTCACATCTAATTGAAATGTCGACCAGCCTTGCTTATATGCCAAGGCTACCACCAATTTGACAGTCTCCAATATTGCGACTGGTGCATATACTTCAGAGTAGTCGAGTTACGCTCTCTGAAGAAATCCTAGAGCTTCTAATATTGCCTTATGTCTTTCTATAGACCCATCAACATTGTACTTCAACTTGAACACCCATTTCACTTTGATAGATTTTATGTGCTTTGATAATTCGACTAGCTCCCATGTGTTGTTTTTGTCGATCGCTTGTAAGTCTTCGACCATAGTTGACTTCCATTGTTTATTATTTAAAGCTCCGCTATAGTTGATTGGTTCAACATCTGTAAGAAATGAACTAATTCTCCATCTGGTGTGACTACATCATTTCCAAACACTTCATAGTCTTAAAGTCTTAATGGAAGAACTCTAGTTCTTTGAGGTCTTTAGCTTATCCTAGCCACACCCTCTTCGACTTTGATTATGTCTGGAATGTCAAAAACTGCTTCGACTTTGACTTAATCAGTTTCTTCGTTGATGCCATAACTCATCAAAGGCTTGTTAATTGTAGCATCAGATTCCAATCCCTGGTGGAATTTTCATCAATAACAATATCTCAACTCATCACGATCTTCTCATTAATTGGATTGAAAGCCTATATGATCTAGTTTTGTGATCCTACCAGAATTATGAGTTAACTTTGTGGAACCTTATTTTGCAGGTAACATGTTTTGTTTTGATGATGACAGCTGTAGAAAATCATAAAGCTTATTTATCATATTAAAGATGCAAAAGCAGACAAATACAACGAGATAACACAACATACAATATGCATGATAAAGATGAAATATGATGACTAATGTAGAAGAGCAATGAAAGTACACTTAGCTTAGTAAAAGATGCAAACTTTTATAGAGTCAACCAATACAAAGCAATGAAAGAACACTCAATATAGTAAAAGATGCAACCCAACCAATGTACTCACGCAGACAAAAGATGTAAGTCATAAACTTGATAGAGGATTGATAAAGTCTCAAAGGTTTCAAACAAAGACACTCAGATGAAGAGATCATATTAAAAGCCTTAATAAATTACTGAAGCAAAAATGCAAAGGTCAATAAACAGTGAATACATCAGACAAGAGAAACAAAACTTCAAAGGACATATCAAAGCAAAAGGTCAACACAATGAATACATCAAACACATGCTTAGGAAAGGTATATAAATTTAGCAACTAAGTGAATCAATGTAAGCAAAAATGCTTTCCTCTTTGAAGTAGTTGGCTATTAGCACACACGCTTATGCGTGCGCGCACGCACACACACACACACACACACACACACACACACACACACACACACACACACACACACACACACACACTTAAAACCTTTTTATAAAATGTTTTTGAAAATAAAATTTCTTGAAGAAATATGTAGGAGTTGCTTAGAAAGAAATGAGAACATTCAAAAAGCCAAAAAAATTATTTTAACTGGATTAGTCGATTAGTCCAATCGATTAGATTGTCGTGTTTTTGAAGATAAAGGAAATTTGAATGTACCCAATCGATTAAAAACAACTATAAATTACTTCCAGCCTATTTTGAATTACTTAGCCGTTACGTTTAATTA